GAGACAGCAGTTAACTTAAGCCGCATGTCTGTGGACCACATGAGGAAGCCGGAGTAGCTTCAGGGAACCCACACATGCACGGGGAGAACGAAAGGGCCCCGTCCGACCGGCAGGTTCCAACCCAAAACCTTCTTGCTGTGAGGCCACCGTGCTAACCACTATTTATCCGCCTGTTTATCAAACAGTAAATTAAAATCTACCATTCATTTTAGCCACGTGTAGCTGAGATTATTATGTCAAAACTGGCATTGAACATGGTGTAAGCCTGAAAAACAGTAGCGTGTGAATAACTGTCTAACCCTCTCTATCTCTTTTTCTCTCAAAGGGTATTTTAACAAGGTGCTGACAAGAAAAATGATAATGATGTGTCTGTCATGATGCAGAGCTGGGTAAATTTGTCATGATGGCAGGTGACTGATGGTGTGGTAGCATCCATTGGCCAAACCATGAATTCCTTCCCTGAACATTTGAACACAAACACACACATACACACAAACACACACTCAAAAGCCGGGATGGCTAGAATCACTCCGCACAGGTACGAGCAGGTATATGACATCCTTTCTCAGGTTTGTGCCCATTGTTCACTGACAGTCTGTCTCCCATTCACAGCCTGGAAGGCATGGAGTCATTACACTAACCTTTACCAACTGTAAACTACTGTACTGTGACTGTAACTTTGAAATGTATGGCACGGTTGCTGTAATCATTCTTCTTTTCCCTCTGCATAGTGATATGTAGGCTACATCAAAGTATTCACCAAGGTCATTATTGTTTCAATGTTACACAGATTTCAGGAATAAACACAGCAGTGGCACATTTGTTCTACTCCTCCCCTCTAATGTTGGGAAAAGCTGCAGCGTGATACTGACATCTTAATATCCAAACTGTTCCTGTTTAAGTATATATTAAAATCCCTAGTGGCTATTAATTTGTTGGATTGCCTAGAATTTGCTTTCAATCTCAAGCTTGTAAATCTTCTGGATTTTGTTTGATGTTACACTGTGTCTCATAAATTCTTCTGGATCTTATTGTTGCTCTACGTTAAGAGACATTTTAATGGCTTTGTACAGCATTTAGAGCTCTTAAGAAACTGTTGACTTCACTGGCTTACAACTAAAATCATGTTCTGTTGTTGTTGCTTTTATTCATTTTCATCCCCTTTGCTTCTTCATTTATTTTCTACTACAGTTTCCAAAAGCCACAGCAAAGTACATTATAGAATATTTGAATATAATATTCTGATCTAATTTAAATATACAGTATGAATGTGCAGAGAACAGAAAACCATTGATTAAAGATTTTGTTTAATTTTGGAAGGGGACAAAATTGGGCAGCATGTGTTACTGTCAATATTACAATGGTTTCAATGCCTTATTATGTGCATTTACTTCATTTATTTACTTTTATGCACAGATAAAAGCGATCTGTTTCTGTAGACTACCAAGAAATACAGTGCATTTCGTGCCAGCATTACTAATAAATAAATAAATAAATAAGTAATTAATTAAATGAATAAATAAATAAGTAAATAAAGTCCCTGCAACTACAGTCTGTCAAGAGACACACTGTGTCCTCTGTGTTATTCCATCAAAAGATATTTTCTGTGGCAAAATGATGACAGATAAATCCTGATCTTCATTTTCACAACAAAACAGAAAATCAGCAACACGATGTGACTTTCATGTATTTAGACTGAGAGAGAGAAAGAGAGAGAGAAATAATGGGGAGCTTTCTATTTACTGTTCTACACTTACCAAAAATTGTTGTCTCCCGACATGTCAGCACCGATAGTTGATGTGTTTTGGGAATGAGGGAACATGCAACAAAAGTTCTGTAAATGTTTCATAGGAAGCAGGAAAACAGCAGCGAGTTCATATAGTGCTACAGTTATGCTCCACGTTGTGGTTACTGAAAACAGAATTTAAAGATTTCTCTGCTACTCCCAACAAGTGTTTGCAATATGTTGCGGTACTTTATAGCTCTGTATTTACATTATGCTTCTGTTTTCACTAAAAAGACATGTCTAATGTTTACTAATGATAATGACAATATGTTTTCACTTGTCTGTGCAGATCTAATGGCATTGATTAAAATCTGATTAGTTCAAAATATATTTGCTGTAAAGAAAAATCCTTCTGTAAAGCCATTTTATCACATGCTAAAATATTATTTTCAACCGTATCTGACACTGTTGGCCTGGAAAGGCTTCAAGATTGCTCAATTAGAAAGGTTGACATTGAATATTGTGACATTTCCTGCCACGTGATATTTTTCATAATATTGAGAAAAAAATAACACGTAACTTTTTTTTTGCAGTCTTGCACAGACTCTGTACCTTAGCATGTTACAAACGATACTTTAAACAACTGAAATACCTGAAACGGGATATTATATCTCACAATAATTGGACTGAGGATGTATATTACTATTTGACACATTGTGTCACTGGCAGTCATTATCAAGCAGTTCAACTCAAAGAAAAGAAAAGCCAACTTATTGGTTGCCACTGTGACCATTTTATGTTTTCCTCACTGTAATCACAGTTGACATTTCCATATAATAAATAAGAAGCCTTCTTCACAGCAGCCATTTTGACTCATAATAGCAGGGGAAACACAGGTGTGACTAATAATATTAATGATTTCTTTTTCAGCCATGTCAGTGAACCAGCATGAACAGTAGCACGGCTCTGGAAACAGCTCACCTGAATCACATGCAGCCAGATTAATGTAATTAATTATAGTTGTGCATTTTTCTGCACCATGAAAATGGCTGCTGAATGTAACAAGCATGCATACATGTGTATGCACATGTGTATACTTCTAACTGAATGGAGCTCTGGTGTTATGAGGTTAGTAATTTTGCTAGGCTAATGACTACCTACATATCGGAGTTCATTTTAACCAGAAATGGACCAGACAGTCTAATTTGTCAACAGAGTGAGAAACACAGTGTCAGATTTTCAAGGCAGCAGATTGTGAGCTAAGCGTCAGTCAGTGTTAACCTACTACCAACACCACTGCTTCTACGTGAAGCAATGAATCCCATCATTCACAAGAAATGTTTGGAAATCAACTGTATTTTAATTACCAGTAATTAACTGATTAATGATGTTTTGTTTTCATTGATGTACTACATTTTACTTAAATATAACGATACACTAACAATTTAACCTGGAATTCCCCCATACACTCTGCCTTGGGTTCTTCAGTGTGTCTTATTTTCAACGAGTTCTCACCAGACACAGATGTTGCAATAGCCTCTTCAATTTTGATTTGTTCCAACTATGTGAGAATGAGGTAAGCGCAATTCAGTACATTAGGGAGAAAAAAAAATCCTTATCTGGTTTCAGTTTTCATTTGTTATGGAACAGAGCCGACTTGGCATTGTTCTCTTTTTTTGTAGCCTATGTTTTCAATAAAAGCAGGGAACAAAAAAAAAATTATTACATAAATGTCCCCGATTTAGCTGGATTTAGGAAGATTAGAGACCATTTTCAGACCTCATCTCTCTTTTCTCTCTTGCTGTGGAAGTTTAAAACTAAATAAAAAGCCTTGAGTCTCCTTTCTCCTCACAAATCAATGCTGTCAATAGTGACATTTAAGCATGGACAAAGGTAAATGTTATTGACGTTCTTAAAAAATTGAAGGTTGTGCCTGTAATCTAACCTTCTCTAATAAGTGATGATTTGAATGGATGACAATGACAGAATGTGTATGGGCTAAATCCATAAATTTCTATAATGCAAAGATGTGCTCCAGTGGTGAGAACTGACCTGTGATACATTTAGAAGTTGTCTCTGAAAGGCAAATCAATATTTCTTGCAAGCTGCACAGTAAGCAAATCGAAGTTCTTTAGCAACAGATAATGAATACAAAATGTCAGTAGATATCAAAAAATGAGTCTTTCACGGTGAAAATAAACATCCCTTGGGTTCTACATTTCTAATTATAATACCCTCAACAACACTGTCTTTACAAAGCAAAAAAAAACCATCTGCACAAAAACTGGTTCAAAATTAAAAATCCTATTTTTCTGCACCTCTAGGGTGTTTTTGTCGAACCAGATTCATCATTCTGTTGCAACAACAGCTTCTCCCATTACTGTCAAGCACAGCGTCCCTTTGCAGCAATAGATTTGCCTCTTCACAACTGAACAAGACACTAACTTTTTAACACATGTCATAAAGCTGTGAGACATTTCATTCAGTGCATGGGGGCCTGTGTTGATCTGAGACTTCAGACGTGCCATCGGAGAGAACAAGCAGTACGTCATCTGATGGTTTCTCCAACGACAGGCCTGTCACAAAACAGCCAAAAGCTTAGAAATGCAGTTCACTTGACATGGAGTCTTCAGGGATGTCTCTAAAAAAAAAAAAAAAAAAAAAAAAAAAAAAAAAAAAAAAAAAAAACGTCGCCCCATTTTATAAAAAAATCTGTTAGTATGGGTGGGAGGATGGGATTGGGGTACATAACAAATAAAGCATTGGCCTACAAAAGATCCAGAGGGAACACTCTATGTGCCTCCTTGGTATCCATTTAACAGGAGGGCTTACAGCAGCCAGCTACTTACAGCCTAACTGAAGTGCTATATTACTCACCAAGCTCAGCTGGAAACACTATAGAAAATGTGTTTGCCTAGGATCTGCTCTCCTTTATCAATCCCAAACAGCAGGGACCAAAGCTTTAAGCACTATGCCAGGGTTCCAGCAACAGCAAACAACATTTCAGACAGAAAAAAAAGAAGGAATGGTTGCACAAATAAGATTTCAGTTTTGTCTCCGTAAATCCTTTAAAGCTGAATCTAAAACAGCACATCCTACTGAAGTCCCACAGAGACTATTCAAAGACACTTGCCTGGGAAAAGTAACATGCAGGCAGGCAGGCAGGCAGGCGAGACAGACAGACAGATAGACAGATATACAGATAGACAGACACCTACAAGAGATTTCAAAGAGGGAATGACAAATGAATCAGAGTCTTTTTTTTTTTTCTTACCGATGAAGAGGTTCCATTCAGGATCTAGGTCTGCCTGGTTTGCTAGACAGCCCCTCATGACGTTGTGACAGTAGTTGTGACAGGGTTTCAGCCCGGGCAGGCCATGGCAGTATGGACAATACAGCATCTTTGTCAAGGCTTGGGCACATGCTGGCACTACATTCACCTGTGAGACAAAGAGACGCTGTTCAGTTATGTCAGGTCTTTTCAAGCTCATCACACCTCAGTCATTGTTTTATGGCATGCTGACATTATGATTCCTAACATGAAGAGAGAAGTTTTCATAAAAAGGTTTCTTAAAAAACAGAATGATGTTACACGCAGCAAGGGATATTTTCATAATTTTTTACAAAACATCATGAGGTTTCCACAGTAACCGCTGCAAACCACAGTCAGTCAGTGTCTACAATAAGGAATGTAATTCCCACTTGAAACTTCAGGGGAGACAAACATCTCCACACTACATCACATCTTCTGAAGCCTGAAATGTGAAAACCCACCAGATAAAACTGTATGACAAGACAAGGTTTACAACTCTGTCCATCTCGATTCCTTGTGAAGGCTGTGCCTTTTGTTGTTGGGCCATGTCATTGTACCGGCTTGAGTGAAAGCGACAGGATTCTCACTTCTGCTTCCCTTCAGAGGTGGGGATGCAGAACGAAGAGTACATCTGATAATTGGCCTGTCAGCCTCTGTATTCATGCTTGACTTTAGATTTTGTCCATCCAACACTCTTGAGACTGCTGGAGTGTGTGTCAGTGTGTGTGTGTCAGTGTGTGTGTGTGTGTGTGTGTGTGCGGGGGGAAGGTTGGTTATATTCAGTGGTAGTGTAGTGGTCAGTGGTAGTCATATGAAGGACCAGCCAACTGAAGAGCATCTTTAACCAATTTACCCCTCACAGAAAAAATATCTGAAGACATGGTTTTAAAAAAAAAAGAAAAAGAATGAAATCTAATTATGGAGAAATTCAATGTTCATTCATCAGAGCAAAATAGTAATTTGTTTTTTCTTAGCCTTGGGTTGAATCAAATCACTTTTTTTCATACAGCCCAAAATCACAAATGTGCCTTGAAGGGCTTTACAATCTGTACAGCCTCCAACACCTCCACCCGTCAACCCTTGGTCTGAAGATGCCCACACAAAGAAAAACCCTTTCACAGAAGAAAAGAAAGAAGCAACAGGAGGGATCTCTCTTCAAGGACAGACTGACATGCAATAAATGCATAAAAGTTAATACTTAGAAAGAAAAATTAAGCATGTGGAGACAGACAGCAAAAAGCCCAGTGAAATAAATTCTGCTAAAACTGAAGTGGGAGGAAACAAAAATATGAAACAACATCAGTGCACTTTTGTAGCTCCATGGCAACATCTGAGGCTGTGCTACGAGTCTACATCCAGATTCAGTCTGCCTTTAACATTTCAGGTTGCCTTTGATTTTACTGGTACAATGACCAGACCACCTGTGTGTCCGTGTGTCCGTGTGTGGGTGTGTGTGTGTGTGTGTGTGTGTGTGTGTGTGTGTGTGAGAGAGAGAGAGAGAGAGAGAGAGAAGAGATGAGAAGAGATGAGACAGAAAATAAGGGAGAGGAGGCGAAAGAGCGACAGAGAGGGAAGAAGACAGAGATGCACGCTATTAATGTATTTGTTTCCACTTCTGCTTGGCAGCCGGTAACAAGGATCAAATGAACCATCTTTGACATTTGCAATCTGCCACTGACATCACGCGATGTCGTGTAAGAAAGTCATTAAAGTGGGTTGGTAGTTGTCAATTCCATCGCTACATGTCATCTGCTGGTATGTGATCTTGTAAATTGTTTACATCACTCTGGGAGTGCGGTTAATTCCTCACAAACAAGGTTCATTTGATTGGACACATTTCACAGCTGGTATGCATGGAAACCATGTACATGTCAGGCATTTTCTGGAGATGCGTTAAAAGGGACATTTTTAAGGATTTATTACTGTACAGCATTTGCCAGCAACTGTAACTCTTTCCTTTTTATATTATTGCATATACATTATATACAAAATATTGTCATGCATTATAGGTTTATACACAGCCCACAGGAGGAGTTACAGTTGTTGACAAATATGTAATAAACACTTACATCTGCTCACAGCTACTTTACAGCTTTACAGTGTTTTAGAAACTATTTATTAAATGTTTATATGCTGTTAATGAATTCTAAAAAGGAGGGGGGCTTTAAGTAAAGTGTTGCCAATTTATGCATTTATATATGATTTCTACATTTATTGTTGTGCCATTGATGTCCACTATCACTGTCATTAGACTTTATGTAGCACATTAACTAGCATTTAATTCTTACATTTCTCATCTCATTCACCGGGAGTGCTGGAGTGAGTCCAAAAAAAAAAGAAAAAGAAAAAGAAAAAAGAAAAGCAAACAGAGAAAGAACAGGCTGTGGAGAAAGCCAGAGACGCTGCCAAAGACGCAGAGAAACAAACACCAAGGAAACAGAGAGACAGATACAGATGAAACAGACGGAGAGAAAACCGGACAAGACACTAGCAGACAAACAGAAGGAACAGGCAGGTGCTCTTGCCACATTTGGACTGAGAAACACAACCAAGTCCATGCCAATCACAGTGTTTGTTTTGGACAGATCAGCATCTTATTTCCCAAAGAATGTCTACTTGCAATTACACATTTAATGACTTTTACAGTGTTGTATTTTTTTTTTTTTTTTTTTTTAAAGTAGCCTATATGTGTAAGGTTTTGTTATCATATAGAAACAACCAACCTCAATTTAAAATTTGGCTTTTATATTTATTAATTTACTGATTTAATTACAGAGCTTGCACAGTCTCCAGCGGCAGCCCCCATGCAGCAATAACCTTTAGATTTCACTCTTGCCACAAGTCCCCACTTCTCTTTCTGTATCGACAAAATCAGTATCACACATATAAATCCGTGAGTCAGATCTGATTGCTATATGCAATTCATCAGTCTACTGTAACTGAGACAGGGAGTAGACAGTTTTTAGATTGCACTTCCACTTCCACCCGCATCCTCATGCATCTCCAGCAATCTCTCTCCCTCCGTCCCTCGTCAATGACTCAAACCCCACAGATTAAATATAACATTTTCCTATCAAGCTATTTGAATCATTTTATTTCACCGGCTAATTTGCATATAAATATATTTGCTATAGTGACAGAGGAAAGACAGAGGGAGTGCCGGGCCCTTTTGTTTTCTCTGCTGGCTCAGCCCAGACCAGTCACAGTATCCCGGCAAAGACATTACATCCGGTTTAAACCACAATCATAAAACAAAAACTAGGTGACAGGATGGCTTTGGAATATACTCGCTTACAGTGTAACCTACTCAACATCAGAAAAACACTACAAATATCTTTCTGTACAATTTAATACCAGCATACTTTTTTTTCCTTCCAACTTGTACAATAAAGTACAGTATTTATTCATGAGAATATTAAATAATTAAAAAAAGTTCCGGGATTAATCTGTTTCTGTCAATTCAATTAAACTTGGCCCAGTTTCTCGACAGCCTATTTAAGAGACATGAAGGAAACACTGGGAGAATTTCCTTAACTATAGACCTGTTCCAACCACGCTCTTTATATCCAGTGTGGCTTTTTAGTGGCAACCAAAGAAAAAATATTTCACACTGCAAATAGGAGGAGTGTTTTAAGCTGCCCTTGAGCTTTGTGAGCCTTTGGAAAATTAGCAAGAAAATGGTGCCTCCTAACGCAATTATCTTACTGGGATTTTTACATCACTGCAGTGACTGTGCCCAGCAGTCGCTGGGTGCCCTGGATGAAGGGTAATCTGATAATCTTGTTAGCACTTATTTACACTTGAGTGGATGGAATATTTCACAGCAGGCTGAGGGCAGGACTGGGGAATGAGATGCCTCAGATCCAGAGAGAGATTAAAACACAAACCTACTCATCTGATGTTTAAGTGCTATGATAACACTGCATGGGGAGCATGTGTTTGTGTGTGAGTTTTGCAGTGATGGAGGAAGTATTCAGATCCTCTACTTGAATAAAAGCAGCAATACTGCAATATAAAAATAATCCGCCATATTGCTCCTATATTAAAAAATGTCTCCTATGTAAAAGTACCTAAGTATTATTAGCAAAATGTACTTAAAGTCTCAAAAGTAAAAGTATTCATAATGCAGAAAAAATTACAATACTATATTATATTATTTTATTATTATGCATTAATATATAAGCAGCTTTTTGCTGCTCTAGTTGGCTGAGGTGGAACTGATTTGAACTATTTTATATACTGTTGAATAGTTTATTCTAAGCTGAAACATCACATTTTATAAGCCTTTCATATTTTTTTTTATGTAACTTCCTAATCTGTAAAGTAACTAAAGCTGTCAAAGACATGTGCATTAAACAGTACAATATTTCTCTCTGCACTGTGGTGATGTAGAAGTATAAAATAGAATGAAATGAAAAGTAAATTACAAGCACTTCAGATTTGTACTTAAAGTGTCTGAGGGGCCATTCTGCATGCAGAGCACTTTCACTTCAGATGTAAATTTTGCTGTAAATACTGAGGTACTTCTTTAAAGTAAAAACTTAAATGTCAGACTTGTACTTGTTACAAAGTATTTCCACATTGTTGAATAAGTACTTTTACTACTTTGCAGTGCCTGAGTGAATGTACTTCGAGAAACGAGAGTGAGGTGAGGCATAAACAGCGGCTGACTCATTAGTCTGCTGCTTCGAAAGAGCAGCTTGAAGATGCGGTCAGCTGTTCAGCCAGACTCCTGATGTGAGCATTAACTTTATCGAGGATTAAAAATGTAACATTACAAATGCAATAAGCCTGAGCAATAATAAAGCAAGCCGTTTCTAAATTCATCCCATAAAGGCCACAGTCGGGAGCCATTACACTCACCTGAATTCAATATGAGCGAGAAGACGTATCCAAGATAACTAAATCATTATAATAAAATGACGAGGCTCACTATTATACTGCGAAAAAACTCCAAAAGACACTCTTAGAAGGCATCACCTTGTCTATTCGACAGGGTGTTGTCATGCACATATGGCGTGAACTCCCTTTAGGGGTAATAGAGTGGGAAGAACACAAGACGATGGAAATTGCTTTGTGCCACCAAGTAATGAAGTTGTGAAAAATGACAATGACTTTGCAAGTTAC